TGATAAGATAACTAATGAATTGCTAAAATCACCATGGAACAAATAATACAACCTTTTACACATATATGCAACGAAATTTTGAAAACAGAACAAATCCCTTCGCAATGGACATCTTCGACAATAATACTCCTACATAAAAAAGGCGATAAAAATGATATAAATAATTACAGACCCATCAGTTTAATGGCAAACTTGTACAAAGTGTTCACAAAGATAATATTAAAACGCTTGACTATAATACTAGACAGCAACCAACCTAAAGAACAAGCTGGTTTCCGCTCCGATTTCTCAACGATTGATCACATACACACCGTCAAACAAATAATTGAGAAATGCAACGAATACGACTGCCCGTACTACTTGGCTTTCGTGGATTATAATAAAGCTTTCGACTCTTTAAAGCATAGCTACATATGGGATTCATTAACAAATCAAGGAGTGGAGAGTAAATACATTAGGATAATTAAGCAAATTTATGAGAATAGCACAGCAAAGGTACAACTTGAAAGTATAGGTGATCAATTTAAAATTCAGAAAGGCGTTAGACAAGGAGATCCATTGTCACCAAAAATATTCAACGCGGTCTTGGAAAATATATTTAGGCAACTCAACTGGGATAACTTCGGCATTAATATAAACGGAGAAAAATTACACCACCTAAGGTTCGCAGACGATCTCATCTTGTTCGCAGAAGATCCTGTTACTCTACAAATAATGTTACAACAACTAGCAACGGAAAGTAAAAAGGCAGGATTAACAATGAATACTAGTAAAACCAAATTGTTGACAAACAAGGACAAAGTTGCAGTACAGGTGGCCGAAGAAGAGATCGAATACGTAAACGAATATATATACCTTGGCCAAGTAATATCTGCAAAGGATCTGTCGAATAAGGAAGTTGATAGGCGAGTAAACAACACCTGGAAAAGGTACTGGTCCATAAGGGAAATTATGAAAAATAAATCTGTTTCCATTTCAGAAAAAAGGAAGGTTTATAACACCTGTATAATTCCATGTCTTACCTACGCCTGTCAGACCTGGCCACCAACACAGAAAATAGAACACAAGCTAGGTGTATGCCAAAGGGGAATGGAAAGGAGTATGTTGGGCCTGAGGTTGGAAGATAAATGGAAAAATACAAAAATCAGGAACATCACTAAAATAACAGACGTGAGAGTAAGAACTCGAACATTAAAATGGAAGTGGACAGGTCATATGATGAGAACACAAACGGGAAAGTGGACCAAAAAAGTAACAGAATGGTACCCAAGGAATGGAAAAAGACGTAGAGGGAGACAGGTTAAAAGATGGGAGGACGATCTTCCTAAGGGCTGGAGAAGGACAGCGCTGGATAGGCAAATGTGGAAGGAATTTGAGGAGGCCTATGTCGCAAGGCAGCCTGACCCGGTAGCTGATAAATAAAATCTTAGTTAAATATATATAAGATACAGATATTAAGAACAAATTAGTTTTAAAAAAAAATGTAGTTTAAATATCTTTAAATTTGTATGTATATAGAAAGGTCAGAGGAAATAAAGGCTATTTTTATTTTATTTTTTATTATTTATTTTTTGAACTGCATACTTCAGTCTTCACCCTCTAGCATGAAAATTTTCACTGGGCCTATAGTGCCTAAGTTACAAGTTAAGTTCAACGTGGGGTCAGCACATGTTTCCTACTTCCGCTTTTCCAGCCTTCAACTCTATCAATCTTCATCTAAATACACACACGTTTCATAAACGTATTATCCTTTTACACTGTCTAATGCAGCTATACTCAACCTGCGGCCCGCGAGCCGCATGCGGCCTGCCGGGCCTTTGTTATTGGCCCATCTGAAGTTACATCTCAGAATTGGCTTCCGTTTTAAATATACACTCAGAGTTGTTTCATAAGTTCATCGATTTTGAAAACGATACCAATCTAGAAGTTTAAAGAAAAAAGGGAAAACACACCATGACTGACACGTGTTTGTGGCCCCTATAAAAAAAAGGTTGAGTATGGCTGGTCTACTAATGGTCTACTAATGTCTACCCATACCTTCCTCGGTCTACCTTTACTTTTATATCCGTCCACATTCATACTTAACATGCTCTTGCTTATTTGACTGTCTTCCCTCCTTAAAGTATACGAAGCTAACATGAAAAAGAGTAATATTCTAATCCTGTATTCATTCCTAACTAGCGGACTTTAATTAGTGGAAGTTTATTCAAATTTTCTTTAGTATAAATTAAATAAAACTATTATAATTTATGTTTTAATTAAATTATAATAAAAAAGTAACAAGTAACAATAAGTTATAAATAATTAAACTACATTTTGTTACAATGAAAACATTATACATATATAAAGCTATAGCTTTTCTCCAACATTAGGACGTAATACCCCCCCTTGACTTATTTGGCTTGATTTAATCTCTTATACGTGCGGAATTGTAGGAACTCTGCATTTACTGGTGAAGAATGAATTTTCATGTCAGCTATGTGTACATTCTTACTTCATAAGTAATTCTAACATAATAAATAATAAAGTTAATTTGTTATGCCTCAATATCTAAATTAGTTTGTTGAAACTTAGTATAAGTATGATACATTTATTTTATTACACTATTCATCTTGCAATTTCAGTTGCAGCACATTTCAAAAGAGTATAATCTATAAATATAATAAAATTCTAACCAAGCCGAATCTGTACATTAAATATTTTTTGGGAAATCTTACTTATATAGACATAATTTTCGATACAGAGGCCGAATCAATAGTTTTTAGAATTTTTGTCTGTCTGTCTCTTACCGCATCACGGAAAACCACTGAAGGATTTTGATGAAATTTGGTATGGTCGTAGCTGGTTATCCGGGGCAATACTAGTGTAAGAATTAGTTTTTAAACGATTTTAATGGGACTATCGTGAAATGGATAAACTACTTTGTATTGTCGAAAGTAAGGGGTTTCCGCATAATATGTTGCAAAATCCACGTAAATAATTATTTTTATTTTACCTAAAATATAAACAGAATTTAAATGCATAAATCATGATAATAGGTACATACAAAGTTCACTTACTCAACATTAGATGAACGTAATATTGACATGGGCGGCGGCAGAATTATTTCCTGGGGGGTGCATCTTCTTCTTCACGTAAAACTACTAATGATTTACCTTTAAATTTTTATTCATATCTTATTTATCGTCTTTTCTTTGAAAATATCTAAATTTAAACAAAAAAATTATATGAGTAAAATCCCTATTTTTTTCATATAATTTTATTTCTTTAACTTTTTCTATATACTTTCTTTCATTGTAGGGAGATGCAAGTGCACCACCTTGCACGACCCTCCCGACGCCCATGAGTATTGACTAGAATACCAAGTATAATATTGCCCAATAAAACTCATTACTTAGCCTCGCTAACAAAGTGAAAGTGACAAGTTGAAGACAAATTGCCTAAAATAAGTTCTACTATAATAGAATATACATATATTCACCGGGAGTCCGAAACACATTTCAATAGCCCAGCTCCATTCTCTGAATACATTTGAGAGCTATAAATTATTATTATTTTTATCATTTATAAGTATTTTTTTTAATTAATATATAATTTAATATCCTAGAAATAAATACAATTAATCAATATCCATCTATATATTACAGACTCTTCAGCTCGATATCTAATAGTTACTTATACAGACATATACTCAACAACATCGCCTATGTATTACCTATATATTGACTTAATTATTATAAAATAATTTACGCCTTCCTTTACGCACCCTATACCTAGCATATCCCTAAACTCTGTATGTAATTTGTTTGTAATAGAGGTAAAACGCAAACGTGCATCCTAAGTAAATTTAAATATAAATAAACTTATCAAACTTATACAAAACATCGTGGCAGTGTGTTTTCTTGTAATAACCAATCGATGCGCAATCATTCCATCATTGCAGCAACTCGACCTGCTTCATTTCCTTCGGCGGTTTCCCCTCAAGTATTTGATATAGAAGGTCAACCAGATCCTGAGCCACAGACTGGTCCAACAAAAAGACTGAGCACAGAGTAATTATACCACGTAAAAAAACGCGCCTCCAGATTCTACCTCGTAGGTGGTGAGGAAAAGAGTCAATAATTAATTAATAACAATATTGCATTATCAATAATTAAAAAGATTATCATAATAGTAATGAAAAGAAGATTGAAAATTATGGCGAATCAATAATTTTTTTTGTATATTTATGAATACAGAAGAATAGTATATTCGTTTCGCAGCTCTGTAAAACCTTAATTAATGAATAAAATTTAAAAAGTTTATAATAAAAATTGTTCCTTAAAAACGCTTCTATAAAAATGGTCTGATATATTTTTTTTGTAAAATGATCAGAAAAAAATTATAACGACAAATAGAAAAAAAAAATCTTAAATTTTCACCGATTTTCGCTTATAACTTTGTTATTTTTGGTTCTACGACTAAAAGTTACTTGACCAAAGTTGTAGAGAATTTTATTTGTAACTAAAAATGGTTCAACAATTTTTTGTGAGACCTATAGTTTGTCAGATAAACCATAAAAACCATTTGCACCCCTTTTTCCAAGATGGCGGCCGTGGGACAAGGGCTGCAACCCCACAAACTTGGATTTAACTTTACACTAACCCCTCCTTGATATCTAAAAAATAAAATTGCGTCCTCTGACAAATGCACGCTAACCCTAAAAAAAAATTTAACATTTTAATGGACTACTTGTCGAAACATCTTTTTTTTAAATAAATTATAATAACCTTTTTTTTTATAAAGCATAAACAAAGTTTGATAGTGTTTTGTGGGATGTGGTAGAAGCCAAATATATATAGATACATATTTTTAGAACTTTTGTGACCGCTCACAACGAGCTCGGGAACTTTATTCATTGTATGAAGTTATTTTGCTTGATTTTATATAGAAATAAACTTACCTACTTAATATTCCTTAAGCCGACTTAATTTAACTTTACACGTTCAACTATTAATCTATTGGAATTGTGTGCGGACTGACAGTGCTTGTACAGGCGCAGTGGATGCGTTTCTAGACAGGATATTGGCACAGTGTGACGTGTTGGAGGAGCACGTGGCATCCCGCTGCAGGCGACTCACGCTACTGCTGGTCCCATGTCGTGCTATACCAGTCGTTCCCATTAGTTCTACAGAAATAAAGTTATTTACATTCTATTCATCCTGAAATATGTGTATTAAATAAGATTATGCTTTGATTTAAGACGTCATTAGTGTTAAACTTGATTACTACGTAATTATTAAGTATGACACAATGATATTACCTATCATTGGTCTCTTAGTTATTAACACAACTCAAGACAAACGCTCTTACGTACTTAGTATCTACTATCTATATTGTAGAATTTATATCTGTTCTAACTTTTTGTTCTTTGACGTTACACTAAATGGTAAAATCTTTTGGAAATATTAGACATAAACTATCATTTTGTGAGGTATTAAAATGTTGCGCTGAATTTTAAGCCCATTTAAATTACTAATTAGTCTCGTAAATTGCACCGCGAACAGCACGAGTGTCATCGACGTTTTCAATGAATTTAGAATCAGTAGATATCAAATATTTGAGAAAAATATTTAATGTAAAAAATTACACAAAAAATAGTAAATTACTTCTTAGGTCGCGTCGTGTACTTTAATATGGTAAGAGGAGCATTTCATTTTTCAAGTAGTTGTATTGTGTATTGCTCGAAAGATCGGTCTAAATTACATTAAGCTTATATTATGATCTTCTGTAAAATGAAGATCAAGCAAAGTAATTGCGAATTATTGATTTTTACCCATTATATGGAAGGAATGAATTAGGTTTCAGGCGAAAAGGACGTAAGTTTTAGGCTTTTTATCTCAAAAAACCTTTCCTCAATTCTCTTACAAGTTAAATCTGTGTTTGTAAGTAATAAAACATCTAAATATGTATAGCACAGGGCCGCAGGGGACTACTTCCGTGGTATAAAACTTAAAAATGTTTGATAAAGGGATAAATCGTAGTTTATATATAGGTATTATAGTCTGTGATGTATAGTACATTACAAGACCAACTACATACTTAGCTTGTACAAAATGCCTACAAATACTTAATAACTAGATTGATATACATATGTATACTTGGATGAAACAGCAAGACCCAACAAAATTCTTGCAAATGCACGAGTATCAAAAAACTTACCGGACATGGGAATACCGTCACACGTGCTTGAACGCTGCCTCAGTCTCAATGAATGATTTAAAAAAGGCAGAAAGTTTCCCAGCACCTAAAAAATGATAGTGGTAACACCATTAACGCATTATAAAAGTTTTTATACATATTTTATCTATTAAAGTATTATTTTATATGAAAAGTTTATCTGCACTAGGCTACAGATGTATAAATGATTATGATTAATATAAACATATATATATATATATATATATATATATGTATGTGTGTTTATTATGATACTAGTTACTGTTGACACAAAAACTCAATAGATTTGATTTTAAATCATGGTATCACTTCACCTATAAGCTATACCTGTTTAAATCCCCGCCGGTACCTGGCGTTCATGTAGCAGTATATGATGGGGTTGTAGCAACAGTGCGACATTGCCAGCCAGTGCGCCACGAACCACACGTAGGGCATGCCCGGCCACGTCGCCCACGCCTCGTCTGTTTCGTGGACTGTCCATAAAATCTACGTCAAAAATTATTGATTCTTTAATTAAAATAATGTTTTATTGCCATGTTCCTATTCTGAAGACTTTTAAAACACATTTAATTTTTAACAGGGTCTAGGTATAATTAATATTTAATTCATAATTAACTTACAATAAATACATTTAAGGGAAGCCAACATACGGTAAAAACGATTACCACTGCTACCATCATTTTAATCATCTGAAAAAATAGAAAATATAATAATATTTAATTAAAATATTATAGCTATAAAAATATTATACCAAAATTGATTTAAATAAACTGCAATTAATACCTTACGTTTGGCATGCTGAATTCGTATATCTCTTGCCGTTTGAGCCTCTCCTGGGGGTCGTCCACCCCATACCACGTGAGCTATGCGTGCGTAAGTACACACTAAAGCAGTTAGCGGTAAACCAAATTGAAGGATCATAAGAGCGCATGAGTACTGCTCGTTTTGTCCAGCTTTCTCCCAGTGCTCGAGGCAAATATCACTACAAAATTATTCGAGGCTATCACTGCTACAATATAAACTTGACTTGGTATTTTCATATTTTAAAATTGTGTCATGGATATCTATGCATATAATAAAATTCTAACTGAGCCGAATCTCTGCGTAAAATATTTTTTGAAAAATCTTATTGAAATAGTCATTATAATCGATACAGAGGCCGACTCTATAGTTTTTAGAACTTTTGTCTATCTGTCTCTCTGTCTCTCTGGGAACCTATCACGAGAAAACCACTGGACTGATTTTGATAAAATTTGGTATGATGAACGAAAATGATGAAAGATAGCTGGTTATCTGGGTCAACATATGGAATATTTTTAATTACGAGAAAATATCTCATTTCTGAGAAATCTATAGGTACTAAACGTTAAAACGGAACGTTTTTTAATAAAAAATACTACCTTAAAAAATAAAGTTTTCTCATTTTCTTTAAACTCGAAAGCTTTTGTAATTTTTTAAATTCATAGTCACTATACATTGGAGGCTATTATAAATATAAAATTACTATTTTTATAACCGCTTCACGCTGAAACGACAGAACGGATTTGAATCAAATTTAGTACACTGATAGATTACGACCTGGAATATCATACGCCTCGTAGGAGTCTGTTAAACACCTAGGGATGTACCCGAGCGAAGCTAGGATAAGCCGCTAGGTTTTCATAAGATTTGGAATGTTAATAATTGTTGGAATCATAATAATTATATTGAAGTGCATAAAAATACTAGCAAAATTAGTGCTTGAAAGCAACAATATACTTACGCTTTACAATACTCATGCCATTCAGTCGGTCTTTGTATTTGTGATACAATGAAAATAGGAGCCGCTGTGGACAAAGCTCCTCCCCAAACCGCAGTTACCACTAGCTTAGCAGCAGTTGTGCCTAACCTAGGTCTTAGAGGCCTCATAATTGCCATATATCTGTCAATGGATATAGCTAATAGAGTGTATGCACTAACTAACACTGACACTGCCTGAGAATAGTTGACTATTTTACACATAACAATGCCGAAAGGCCAGTATCTGAGCACTAATGTTGACACAAAAGAGAAGGGCACACAAAACAGAGTCATCAAAATATCTCCAATGGCTAAGTTCATTATGAAGTAGTTGGTAACAGTCTTCATTCGCGGTGAACTCTGCACTACGAAGCATACTAGTCCGTTGCCGATTAAAGCAATAACAAATACAGTGCAGTACATTAAGTACACACAAAATTGAAAAAATGGTGTCGATAAGAAGCTGCCAGATGATGATGGTGAGCAAGTTCCATCGTAGCTCCATGATATATTTGTTTTGTTAACACTTGCGTTGTTATACTCTTCACCGATTACCATATCATCACCATATGAGTTGTTGTATACGACAGTTTTATTCGAATCATATTTATCAAAACTTTCATACAATTCCATCGTCACGTGTCACATTTTTAAGTCTTGAATGTTATAAATTAATTAGGTGAGTATTATTCCGTTATACCAGAATGGTATCATAATTACCTGAAAAATAAATAGGTAATTTATTGTTACATTAATCACAATTTTTTACAAAAATATACAAAAATGGTGGAAATAAATTTTGAGTGAGAGTGACGGCGGGTAGTTTTACTATTGTAATAGGCAAGCGAAGCCGCGAAATAAATACAAGTGTAATACGTTATAAAAGTAGTTTTGATAATCGTTTATTATGCCACGACAAAGCTAAGCCTAAGTGGTTCATTAATTACAAATTGATGATATGAACTGCTTCTAAGGATATATTGATTATGAAGCAAAAAATATTGATGAAATTTTATGAGAAAATTTTGAGACAGTATAATCCTCAAATATCGAAAAGATGTAAGAAATATCAAATGGCTAAGAATCGAAATAAAGGCAATCAAAGATCCTGTCTCAAAAGCAGACAAAATAATGAACTTTAAGAACAAAAGTCATTATTCCACTCTTGGGGGAGATTTTTATGAAGCTTATTAAAAAAGACGAAAAAATATATAGGTAGGAAAATTAGACGAATTCTTATGTAATCTACACCTCACTGGGGTGAAATTACTAATTAATTATACACTAAAGAAATATGGACATGTTCTATAGCAGTTGAAGAGTAATATCTACATAAGCAGGAAAAACTTTTTTTTATATAACAAGAAATGCCCTTCCTAGTTGCGAGACTGATTAATTATTTAGGGTAAGCTAATTCGTGAAAGGGCAATAAAAACCAACCGGCCTCCCTATAATGAGTCGTTCATGTCAGACATCTGCAAAACTTTCACAATGCTACAACGTCCCGCTATTAAGACCTAAATTAACAAATATAATATTAATTTTCACAGGTGCAAGGAATATATAAAGATACTTTATTCAATTTTATTCAAAATACACATTTTCTGGTAAGGTAATCAAAAATTATGATTATAACAATAGTATAAACAATCTTAAACCGGTTTTTGACTGATTTCAAAAAGCAAAAGAGGTACTCAATTTGTGTGTATGTAACACAATATCTTTACCTTATTTAATGCAAAGGTCTACTCTACATTACACAAGAAACATCCGCTCTTATGGGTAGAATAATTAATTTTAAGTGATTTTGATATAAACTTTCACCTTTTCTTAATGTTGGGAAATGCATTTAGGCATACCACCTACGGGTATACACATACGGGTGTTTAATTGGGACTCACCGGCTAGAAAAGCCAGTACTACTCACTAAAACCCAATATTCAAATTTCTTAGCTTCACGCCCAGCTTGATTGCCGAACGCTGAAGGGTCCTCCCAGTCCTCCCACCACGACAAAGTTAGGAACGCACGTTATACTTTGGCCTTCACCATCTATCTCATAACTCATTCTTTTTAAGAAAATTTAAGTATTCTAAGTACGACGTGAGTTTATTGACCAAGATCCAAAATATACCTTTGTGACCTTACTCTTGAAAATATAGTGTTGATTAAAAAGTCCTTACTGTAGAGGAATTTCCTTTATAGTTACAGTAAGGATTTTTGCTCATTGAAAAAATAAAAAAGAATTCATTATGTGTTTTTTTTTCACACCGATGAGAAAAATTTGAAGTACATTTTATTAAATATAATTAAACACTTTAAAAATACAATAAACATGGCATACGTTTATTTTATTTTCTAAAGAGCACTTCATTTTTCTTTGTGTTGGACAAACAGAAATAATTTACTTTAGAAAAATAATATTGTAAAGAACTTATTTTGTGCAAAATAACAAGAATATAACATTAATAGCCTTTTATTATACGGCTAATATAGTTTTAAAGCTTCGGTGAACTTAATTTCTCTTGAAAGCAAAATGAAACAAATTCTTATTGTCTTGCAAGTTTATATTAACTATCCTTTACAGAGCCTTACGCTTGACACGAATGCATCCAAGTTATTCTCTCATAATTTTACATACAAATTAATACTTCTAACAAAATTAGACTATAGATATGGGTTACATAAATACTGATTTTTTAATAAAATTATTGACTTATTCTTAAAACTCTGTCATTTTGTAATAAGGTTTTTTTTATGAAAAAAAATAATAAATATTTTTGTTTTATTAAATTTTGTTTAATTAAAAAGATATTATAGAAATTAAGATATATATATATATATATATATATATATGTGACCACTTTATATGTCACATTTGTTTATCGAGTCTCATGTGCAAAGAACTCTATATCCTAGAGACATCACGTAGCAATTAAATTATATGTTTTTTACTTCGAAAATAATGGGACTCCCATACAAACTTTCCTGATCTGTTTATTTCTTAGACATAATGGTCCCTTCATAATACATAATTAAATTTCATGACCTAGCTAATGTGTAAAGGACGACGATACTTTAGAGTTTAGATCATCTACTATAACTAATTACTAGTATAGTATTATATGATCTGTGTTAAAAGTGAGCAATATGACTGTTACAGATTATTTGATAATATAACGTATTAAATGAAAATACCTTATCGACTACCATACACAAAGAGGTTGTTCAATATATCAGATAATCAAAACTATGTTAACTTTATTATATATAAGCAATCTTTAAGAGCAATTAAGGTTTGAGTAACTCAATACCGTTTGAGTATAAAGTTATGAACTTGGCTACTGTTCTAGAATACTACTAACCAGAATTCGAGGTTTTAAATGCTAGATTTGAAGCTCCTTCTGTTTCTATGCTTACAACCTATAAGAAATAGGATGCTATATGTATACCAGGGACGCGAATTCCTAAAGAGAGCTTTTGAACGAGTAAGCTATATACTTATAGACTTTTTATTTGTCAGATCTAAAAGAATTATTTAATAATAAAAACGTTTGATAAAAATTTTCACATAGACTTTTAAATTATGTAATTTCAGTAGTCAACATTTTGAGGAACTATTATTATTAGAACTTTATTAAGATTACAAGAATAGTCCTGCAAGATTTGTTCAGTTATAAGCATATATGTACATATAGACAGGTACATACGAGTATTTGTAGACTGTAGAGTACTTTTGTACAAATATAATACGTACCTGTAGGCAAATGAAAAATTACAGCGATTTATGATTCTTTTTACAAATAAACTTTCATATACTATTAAATAATATTAGTATTAGAATTTACATGTGTAGAAATAATAAACAACAACTGACTCTCATCTTCCTACCAAGAAATGTTGATTGATTGCATACATCTGCTGGATGTGTGAATTATACAATCTTATTAATATCGTATTTATAGTTTTAAAAGAATAACATACAACTTTAAATTTTATCACTCAGACTAGACAAATCTTGTTAAAAATTAATTCCAATTTTTTAACAAACTTCAAACTTCATTTATCTCGCAATGTTGGTTAATTCGATGTTTGTTTAGGTCAAATCTAGGCAAGGTGAATTAGAACCACTTCCTCTAATCCTACAGAATTAAAATTTAACATAATGATTCAATGAAAATGAATTTTATAATAATTATGATCTGATTCTTCATATAAGATTGGCTTATTTGGCGCAACATACAGACACGAAATTATACACGCATTCATTAATATTATAGCCCGTTCTTTCGTCCACTATGGCCTGGCTACTGTATTCAGGGTATGAGAGATCTCTTTAGCAATCAACGGCACAGACATGCGCATTCAGTTATGATTCAGGTGACTTGTAGAAAACTAAATTAATTAACAGTAAAATGCAATGAAAGTTTTTTATAAGCTTTTATTTTACTGCACTAAAAAGAATAAAATAAAACTTAAAATAAATCAAGCTGATTACTTTGTTATATTATATAAATACATATGTACGATATAAATATTATGTAATAAATTAGATTCATTAAAACATGTGCATCTTTATTTTAACACTGACTAGTATAAATTAAATCCATTGTTAATTAATCCATGCTAATCGTCGAATTCATAGATACTCCCTAATTTACGGGTCGAGCGAGCTTTAGGTTTATAAAATTCTATCAACTATGATCTCGAAACTCATAGATTTCTTTGGAAGGTATTCTAATTGGTTACGGGTTCTAAGTAATATAATTAATCGAAATTTGCGTAAAAAACCGATGCCGTAGTTTCTACAAACTGTTTTACTAAAACAAATAAATACAAAAGCATAATCTAGCTAATTATTATTTTTTTCTACTGTACATTTACTACGAGTAGATACATTTATATTTTTAAAATAAGAGATGCACAAAATGTAACGAAAACGCCATACTATAAGTTTTTAAACTCCTCTAAACTTCTCTTTATAAAAGAAACATTTCCCTAATTGATTCCGACTCATATTTGGATAATTTTTTGTTAATAAAATTATTTAATAATTTTGCTATAATCATTCGCACAAATTATTACATCATCCAATTAAAATAATTATCGTTGAAATTGAGTTTCATTTATTATTTATTACATACATAGGAATGTAGCACTTTAAAATGAGATATAATGGTACTATGGAAAATATCTATACATACATAGATATAATGAAATAGTAAAAAATCGAAAACGGTACATGAAATATTTTTTAAAAATAATGACTTTTACGTGTTGGGTACATTATATGTATGGGGGTATACATGGAGCTTATCACTTATGCCCCAAAAGAATTATTGTTGAATATTTTTTATTGAGGAAACCTGAAATTTATTAAAAAAAATGCTTCCATTATATCATTTCAAAACTTTATACAGTATACTACAGTAAAAAATACTTTAATTTCTTAGGTTTAATTCTCGCTTTAGTAACAAAGAAAGGTATTTCACACAAAATTAAATCCTTGATGGAGAAATAAACATAATCTATACATATAATAAAATTGTAACTAAGCCGAATCTGTACATTAAATATTTTTTGGAAAATCTTATTGAAATAAACATTATTATCGATACAGAGGCCGAATTTTTGT